GTCACACCACGTGCCTCCCAGACGTCCCACGTCCAGCTGTGGCCTCAGGGCTCAGGGCAGGAAGCTCGACACTGGCCTGAGCACAGCTGGAATGTTGTGGGAACATTTTATGTATGTGTGTGAGACAGTGTGTCTGTGAGTGTGTGTTTGTGTGAAGAAGCTCTGGCTCACAGGAGGCTGACTGTTATCCCGTGTGGTAGGCCTTTCCTTGAACCCCTTCACTTAACTCCCCAATACCTCACCCACTGTGCCCTTTGGCCAGACATGTCCTCACCCAGCACCCTCCACAAGCACAGACACACACAAGATGCATGCACACACAGACACGAGCACACACGGCTTCAATCAAACAGGGATGCACAGCCCCTTGTAAAAAGGTGTGATGGCAATTCAAAATGATGGCACTTATCCACACTTTGTGCCTCTTAGCATACTGATAATTGCAAACACCTGCACGCAACCTCCCCTTCAAAGAAGAGCCACACTCGGATAGCTGGAGGGGGCACACACACCTGGCCGGAGCAGAGAGCTACCACATGGCTCAGTGGCGAGGTGTTTAACATGTCCTTCTGCTGTCGACCCACTCTGCGTCAAAGGACTCCCTCGGCTCTAATTAAAGACACAGCCTAGGGCCCCTCTGTGCTCCGTACTGTCAGGAGATTCATGCTGCGAGTGATGTGAAAGCCGACTAAACAACAGAAATCCTCATGATAAAGATTTTCTTAGGGGCTTGATCAGTTCAAGTTCTGTTAGTCTAAAAAGTAACAAAACTAATTGAAACCTTTGACTGTTAATGACCACTGCATAATTTACACTGGTGAGTGGTCATTTCCCCTCAAATGTTTCAATTAGTATATAATATAGTAATCAGTATTTAATAATATTTAGTATATAATATATAAAACTATAGGTTACAACATGCAAAATCAACATTTGTTTTACATTAAGTGATGTGTTGTGATCAAACCCTGAAAATCGATGGAGACATTAATTAACTCACAGATGAAGCCTTTCCAACAAAAATCTCCTGTGTCCTGACTTATTTCCACAACCACCTTTCTAAAACTTGATGGTCTGTGCTCTTTTACATCTAAAATGCACATCAACGACAGCCATTTGTGCTCCACTCCATTGATCTTGCAAATACCGATCACACTGCAATGCACTTCTGCGCTGCTAGATGGCGTAAGTGACCTCGGTAAGGCCCCCAGATTTAAACGACAAAAGGTGAAACCGGTCTATCAGCCTGAGGAACATCACTGCCTAGTTTTACTCCTGTGTCCGAATAATTACAGAGCCATTGTCTCTTGTCTGAATGACTTGTTTAGGTAATAGAATTACAATACAAGTGTCCTGCAATTTACTGACAGTCTGGTCCAGTGTGACTTACAGTGCGTATGTACAGCGTGTTTACTCTTAAGCAGGATATGCCCTTTGCCTTTTATAGAAGCATATTGATTTTGCAGAGACTGAACCATAAACATTACTAGTCAGAGGATCGTTTCTCACGTTCAACAAGATTTTTTTTCATCCTATTTGCCACAAAGTGTTATTACCAATGCTGCTGACTAAAGATGTGTTTTTAAACATTTGGCTGTCTTCCCATATTGTTTTCAAACTGTTTATCATATACTTGTTGATTTCATGAGTTACAGCTGTCACGGAACATTTAGGATTACCGAGCTGAAAAAGTTTCTGCTTTCTCACTAATCGTGCGCTAATCTCAGTTTTGCGTCTATACAGACAGAAACCTCCACATAATGAAGCTTAATTACCACATAATGTACAGTTGCAGGTAGAAATACGTAATATTTGCAGTTTTACGCATTTATAAGAACAATAAGCGTAGGTCTAGTTTTTCTGACACATAAACTTAGATACATGGGCATGTTTTCATATCTTTACAAATTTATTTGTCTTCCAAAATGAAGAACAGCATAAGAACAATGAACATATCTTTGGCATCACACAGTAAAAAAGACAACTCAAATATATAAAAATGCAGTGAACAGACTTCCACAATACAAATCTCATTTCAATATGAACTTTACTCCCTTGTTAGCTGTACAAATATAGTGCATACTCTTTCCATTTTACAAGAAAAAACCATATTGAAAACAACTTTTCTAACATTGAACAAAGAAAGAACTATTAAGTATCATGTTATAGTCTCTGTGGTCATTCCCCACTTTTCACCAAGGTCGCCACACTGAGTCTGTGTTGCCTGAAGGGGCTCCGGGGGAAACCGCAGCTGGCACAGGGACCGGCGTGCTGACGTTGTTGGCGTACACGGGGATAACGGGGCCGTTCGGCGCAAATGCTGCATTGGGTATGAGGAATGCAAACTGTCCGTCTGTGGCAGGCACGATCTGGAAGCCGCCGTACACTTTGGTGGCGTCTGAAGGTAAACTTGCTGGCGAAGAGCCTCCTTTACAGGAGACCGCGTTCATGGGCAAAACCTGCGGGGATGAGCTGGGGATTTGCACCATAGACTGGCCAAATGAGGAGTGTGTTGGTCCAGCGGCAGGGGGCAGCTGGTGTTGGTGCTGATGCTGGTTGGGATAGTTCATGGCGTTAATCTGGGTCATGCAGTTGGCCAGGTGCCCAAGCAGCCGCGTCCTGACCTCGGTATTGACACCTTCACAGGTGGAAAGGAACCTGGTGACTTCATTCATGCACTCGCTGAAACCCGCACGATACTTTCCCAAGACAGTTGGATCGGTGTTCAGGGCAGCTGCAGAGAAGACGAACACGGGGAATTCAGTCAGGAGCTAATTCAAATGCAGATATTGTTTGGATTTATAAAATTAGCTGACAATATTCTGGACATAAGACAAATTTAGAGTGATCAAGGAAGAATGATAGAAGAGCCGAGATATGATATAAAACTCAGAGTAATGACACAGATTAGTCCGACTTACCGGTCATCTGAGCCCTCTGGAGGTTCCGGAGATGCTTCACCGTCATCTCCAGGATGTCTGCCTTCTCCAGTTTAGAATGTCTGGAGCTCTTAGGACACGGAAATCACACATGGTTAAGATTACGCGCTGACTTTCACACTACTTGACAGGGGCAGTTTTGAATTGCAGGTAAACAGTCTATTAATAACCGAGACGAGCAGTGAGTACTTACATCTTTTTTGAGCGCATCCAGGATCAGAGTTTTCAGCTGCCCCAAGCTTTCGTTGATTCTGGCTCTTCTCCTCTTTTCCATAATTGGTTTGGAGGACTAAAGATAAAAACAAAACGACATAAACCGTTAAATTTCTCTTTCTCGTTTCCTGCATAAAGGTGAAAGCTCTCGCTTTGGACGAGGAGCTTGTGCCAAATTGTGCCCGAAAGCAAACAGCCCTTTTAATTTATAGACATTGACGTGGAAATGCTTTAAAATACAAGTTTTATACCAACCTTTCTGTGCTCAGAGGCTGTCTTGGGTTTATCAGGAGTAGTGTTCATGCTTGCCGGGGTTGCAGCGACCGGAGAGGACGAGGATTTTTCCATCATATCAGCGGGCATCTTTTTATCGGAAATATCCCACAAACCACAGCAAATTACGGTCCACCGGCGGAGAAAAAAGAAGGGTGATTAATTTCAGCTTGTGATATTCAAATGTCCCTTCTCCCACGAAGAAAAATCCTGAGGTAAGTATGAAGACGTGTGAAGTTACAATCCGTCAGAGCGATGCGTGGCTCTCGAGCGCGGACGCACACTCTCTCTGTTGGGCGCTCCGCGTGCGGCTTGTATTTATATCTCGCACTGCACGCGAACGGCTCGTGTGAAACTTCCCAAACTTTCTTTCCCACAGTAACTTTCCACCAATCAGAGCGAGGGACACGCGGCCCGAGGGAGGATGGCTCGTGGTCGGATTGGTTGTTGGGCCGCTGGAGCTGGCGGCCAATGGCGCACGGCCCGGGTTCAGGGCACAGCCGGCGAAACTGCCTTCAGTCTTCAATCATCGTACCGTTTACATATTAACAGTGGAGCCGCTGACTGGGCCAGGAGCGGACAGAGATTTGTATCTATCAGAATAGTGATAACACAAAATATTATGAAATCGCTTACTTAGACAATAAAACAGTGGAAAAACACAATACATCCATATGCAATGGGTCAACACCAACAATGATATATTCTGCCCTACTATTCTCAGTCATCATCAGCACCCATATTAACCCTCACCATCAAATCAGCTTTTATTCAGCCTTGAGCCAATAACACTTTGGCCCGTCTTCATAAACAAAGTTACCTCCTAAGTCTTGAAGGGTGCAAGCTGTGCAACATTCAGTGGTCCAAATTTAAATGGCAACTGCCATAACAAATACACTAAATCTCTGAAATATCTTTGTGCCCATGGTTTTAAAGCCACCACTGGGAAGTGGTGGGATATCTGACAATCAGGGTTTCAGTCACGTGCCAGGAAGGCGCAGCAGTGTTGTTTTCTTTTCAACCAAACGTCACAGTAGACAGCTACAATGAAATTGGTAAAAGAAAAACTCTGGATGACAACTCCAAAACACATGGGGAGACAAACTCAAATGCTATAAAAACACTAATTATATTCCTAGAGTCAGTTAATTTAGCCTTCCCTCAGAGGGGGGATGCGCACACCCAATTTCCATGTCATTTGCCACTGCAGTTCCTAACTCTGGTACAAATTTTGGCATTTAATCATCTGTCGGTGTTGTGAATGTGGAGCACGTGCCAGGATGTTTTATGAGCGCGGTGGCTGGAGGTTTGGCCGCTGGGCTGCCCGGGGACCGCCGGGCTAGGGAGGGTGGAGTGGGGTGGGGAGGGTATGTGGCAGCGGCGGCGGTGGTTTACATTAGAGGGGAAGGTAAATAGCAGCTGCTGTTTTAAAAGCCTGGGAAAACCACGCCTACAGAGAGAGCTGGATCGGGCTCCCTTATCGGAATGTGAGCCAGAGCAGAGATATTTCTGAGCCCGGAGAGCTCACACGATCAGACCGATGCCTCCTCCTCCTCCTCCTCCTCCCCCTCCCCACCGCTGGTCGCCCCACAGCGTTCAAGACCTTTTAGGACTTCAAGTCATAATTTCATTTCCTTATCTTTATTGCAGCTGGAAAGACGTGAAGGCAGACGACCAGTAAAAAAGAGACAGAATCAGAGTCCATAACCGGGTCTTATAAGTATATTGACCGGCAGCACCTCCGCATTTTTCAGGTTGTGCGACTGTGATCACAAATAGGGAAGTTTATACGAAGTTTGCCTGTCTGTAATATATTTTCACCAAGTATAGGTGTCTCATCTCCACTGTTTGAACAGCGATTCCATACACAATACTTCCTCCTGAAAGCATTCCAACTATACTCTAGTTATTTTTCCGCATACAATTAAAAAAAAACAAGAATATAATCAATGCGCAATAATGGGGGCTTTAACAACTCTGTCAGCGCAATGAGGTTTATCTTAATTAATCATAATAAGTAACAAATCCAATGCTTTATTATTATTTTACTAGGCATATATGGTGCTCTGTGCAGGACTCTCCGCTGCGCTAGCAGCAGCTGGAGAGACCGCGACACGTGGCGCGCAGACGACCAGGGGAAGGCGCTCCTCTCGCCGGCTTGCCGCCTGGATCTGCTGGGCGTCGCCGGCGGCTGGACGCAAGATCATGAATTTGATAGGCAACTCCGAGCTGCACAGGGCTCAGCTGAACACCAGAGAGGCGCAGATATGGTTTTAGTTTCTCTTCAAGACTGTGCTTGAGCATGCAAAGTAAATTACAGTGCCCGCAAACTATATGCTATGGCATCACAGGCAGCATCTTGGAGACATGGATAAATGTTATAAGAAGACTGACATCACTTTATGCTTTATAAGTCACTTCTAGAATTTTATTCTCATGTGGCCGCACCTTCATAAAGATATTTTTGATTTCATATCATCCACATGCCAGTCTAAAAACAAATACAAGCACTGTTAAAACTCAGATTTACACCGTGCCAGATATAATGTCTGAATGACCCGGGATGTGAAATCATCAGTGAAACCACACACGCGTCTTCCGTGTAACTGGAAACTTTGCTTTTGGCAAGAGAGAGGCTGGTCTGTACACGCACCTGAGCCAGCTATAATCCTACATATCCTTCATGCGCAACAATGCAGCTTCTGTCAAACACATCACTAGCATGCCTCATTGTTGTGAACTGCACACCTGAGTCATTTTTCCCCGCACAATGCCACTGACAGAGTTACAAAACAAGTGTATTGATGTGAGACAAACAGAGTGTAGATTCTGAGACGCTTTACGCCTGAATAACTTTCTCACGCTCATGTTGCAAGAAGTCTCCAGTTGTGAACTGAGTCACGGAGCCTTGGGTTTGTTGGTCCCTCCCTTCTCCCTGCCAGTTGAACATCTTATCGGGCGCACCTGGCTGCTGCCGGTCCCTGCAGTGTTACCTGTTGCTATGTGTCAACTTGTCTATCGCATTAACTCCGTGGGAAACAGGCAGACTCACAACGCGTAAAATCTTTTGATCATCCGACCTTTATAGATACTTATGAAATGCAAAAAAAGGGTAATTGCCTGGCCGGTAGCCAAGAACAAAACAGGTATGGTTATTGTAGTTTTTTCAATTTCTCATACTCTTTCTACCTGTCAGCACCTCCCCTGTCCCATGCACCAACCCCAGTCTATCTTTTTCTTATCTTCTCTTCTTTATCTTTTTTTATATTGGCCATCCTTACCGCCCTCCCCATTTATCTCTCTCTTCCTCTTTTCTCATTACACCTCTCCCAGGCCTTTCCATGGACCCATATCTTTATTGAGCCCTCTCGACCATGGACCTGCACACTGCAATAATGCAATTATACAAGGAGGCTGTGGGGCTAAAGTGTGTGTAAATGTGGGATATTGCATTCACCAAACAATTTGGCCCCATATCACACACTGCTCATGTTTTAATGTGTAAGCCATTAGTGAACAGTGCCATAGGTGCCACAAGGGTTACATGCCTCTGTGTGTGTGGTTGTGTAGCTATGTTGGCATTTGAGCTTCAATACTCGCTGGCAAGAAGAGTGAGAAATAAGCAGGCAGACAGACAGGCTGTATCAAGGCCAGCCTTGAGGTGTCATGTGGCTGCCGCTGCCAAACTGAGGGTGGCACTGTGTTGACGCAGCCTGTTTTCCCAAGAGGCTGCCACACAGTGGTTGACTAACTTGACTTATCCAACAGATCACACTGTGATTAGCATGGTCAACAAGTCACCAGAAGTCCTTTCATTTCCTACAGAGCTAAGTGGCCAATGTGTGCACAGTCACTCCTTGTCAGCAGCCAATGAACTTTGCAGTTTGCTGCTTGGAAACTGCAAAGGAGAAGAAGCTCATTACAAACAGAGCAAGATTCCCAAGTTCTCTGCAGCTTTTATTTGAAAGACTGCAGGAGTAAAAATGCTGATGATTGGCTGTTAGGCATTTTTAATTTCAGGTGGTCCCTGAATTCTGTTATATTTCATTCTTGTCTTTGAAAAAAAAAAACGTAATCCTACCTAAAAGTCATCTTACAAATTTTTCCACAGCTTTTTGCCATATCTCACAGTCAGAGTTTGTTCAGTTGTCATAGAGATGGCTCAAAGTGTTGTCACATGAACTAAGTATAAAACTTTGGTCACATGATAACATGAACAAATGTGGGGGAAACTGTGACATCTGCTGAGAATGACTGTATAACACGACTGACTAGTTTTTGTCAAACCTGTTTAGTTAGAGGTTTCAAGATGCTACATATTTCTGCTGACTGCAGAGGGCAGTAAGTGCTGTTGGTGCTAATGTTCTAAAAACCCAATGTAGCAGTGAAAGAAGAGAACACAAAGACCATAAATGAACATAAATAATGCAGATTTCAAATCATTCAGTAACAGACTTAGCGAATGTTTTACGAGGTAGGAAATACATTAAAATTGGGCCTTGATGTACACAAAATGTGCTTTGAATGAAACACTGAACACCAAATTATGTTTGCAGGAAACATACAGTACACAGTGTACTGTTACCATATGTCTTGAAGTAATGACATATGCTCACCAGCCACATTAACAGCCACACCTGTACAATTTTATGCACTTAATTGCAACATTTCACTTTAACATCTGTGTTTATGAAGCTCAAAGTGTTTCAGTTTTTAGTGAAATTGTCATAAATGTATAAATTCAATTATATTATATGTCTATATTTTTGTCCTCCCTACATGAGAGGGTCAGAATAGTACATATAATGTAGTCCAGTACAACACCACATTTAACAATGACCTCAATAACAAACATATAAATGAATTTATACATGTATGACAATGACACTAAAAACTGAAACATTTTGAGCTTAATAAACACAGATGTTAAGGCAAACATGTTGCATTGGTTTGCATACAATTGACCAGGTGTACCTAGTAAAGTGCCCCCTTTATTAGGTACACCTGGTCAATTGTGAGTGTATGTGCCATAAATCATTGAGCCTTCATATAAAAAAAAAGAAGAAGAAGAAGCTACATTCTGATAAACAACGAATCTGGCAAAACGATATACTGTCTCTACAAGGAGCCACAAATGGCTGCATTTAGAGGCTCCAGCACCGCCCACAGTAAATCACAAGTGACCGATCACCCAAGTTGCACATCACAGTGTGAGTAGAGGGTTACGGCAAACAGAGGGTTGTGTCAAAATGATAAGCACTGACATCTTACAGAAAGCGCTGAATGATAGGAAAGCCAGTCATT